GTGTCACCCATGTTACCCTGCCCTTTAATCCTTACCCATAGGCTCTCCACTTGCTCTTCATCCACCCCGAGGCAGAGCTCCAGACATTCCAGCTGCTCCCTCACATAAAGAGCAACTCCACCACCTCGCCTTCCTGGCCTGTCTTTCCTAAAAAGCACATAGCCATCCATGACCGCATCCCAGTCGTGTGAACTATCCCACCATGTCTCTGCAACCGCAATGAGATCATGGCCCTGCGACCGCACACAGATCTCTAACTCTTCCTGCTTATTCCCCATGCTGCGTGCATTGGTATACAGGCATTTCAGAGAGCCACTCAAGCACGCAGGCTTCCCAGAAGAGGTGCAAGAGGATCCTCCATCTTGCCTAGTTTATGTAAAACATACACTGTTTATGTTTAAAAACACAGGCAACTATTTTATGAATCAGTGTTTTCCCCTTAGATGGCAGATGCCAATGAAATAAAATGGCTTGCACCGTGAGGCTACCTGTGGTCCCAGTAAATAGGATTTAAAAAGCTCCTTCCAACTTTAACGTTCTATTTGTAAATTATTCACAAAAACAATTCATGTGCTTTAAATGTAATTACAATATTGTGTCCTTGCTTAAGAGATTTTCATCTCTTAATTGCTTTGGGAATACAAAATGCTTACCTCATACGTAATTTATTTATTTATTTTTAATTAAAAACTAATTTGGGTTGCCATTTTAAGGAAGGCTGATATTTAGGCCTGGCATCTGGAGAATCTTCTAGTCAAGGCTGATAGTGCAATGTAATTTCTTCCCTCCAGTCTCTCTTTAGATTTTAATGTTTTAATTACTGCTGTTTATTAGGAGACAATTCCTTATTCTTTGTGTATGTAAAACTAGAGGCTTTGCATGCGTCAAAGAATGCAAAAATTTTTTTAAAGGAAACGTTTAAAGAATTATTTGATAGGCAGCTATGTATTATAGGAAAAAGCCTGTTAAAAGCACGATGCTGGAGGCTATGTAACAAATCATACCAGTCTTATGTCAAAGGAATATTTGTAAAGAAGAAGCAAACCTGTTTGCTTGACAGATGTTGTAGTATTGAAATGTCTCCCCGGTAATTAAAACGTTAATATCCAATTTCTCCCCTTTTCCAGCAGGCTGAGAAGATCTTGATTTGCGTGTTTAGGTCATAAGGGAAAGACGAGTGTGTGTTACTGTAACCTCTGGGAACAGCAGCCAATGTTCCACTCTTTTTTTTCTCTACTGTGAAGAATTTCTGCAGAAGTAATGATGACTACTTTTTCTTCCTGTTTTAAAGACTTTATTGGAGACCTAAAAGAGTCTCAAAGGGATTCTATTTGCAGAGCATAAATTGGTACAAGTCCATTGGCTTTCATTTGTAGTTATGCCATCAGAATGGGAAAATCTGTCACTGAATCACAGAACGGTTGAGGTTGGAAGGGAGCTCTGGAGATCATGTAGTCCAACCCCCCTGCTCAAGCAGGGTAACCTAGAGCACATTGCACAGGAAGGATATGGCCCTATATCATTTGTAAGAAGTAACACAAAAATGCTATCTTTCAAAGTTGTTTTATGTTCAGTCATACAGTGAATGAATTCATGTATATAATATCAACATTAATGAGATTGTTGGAAGAAGGTATTTTAAGATAACAGACTTTTTTTTTAATACAAAATGTTTCTTCCTATTTACTAGATTTCTTTCTATACCTTACTGAAAAGTGTGGTTACGTATGGTTCTTTTAAGCTGAAATGCTGTTGTGTTAAGTTAGAATTTTGACTCTGATTTTTTTTTTGAAACAGGATCCGAAGAATCTTTCCGTCTGCTGCAATTAGAATCGACTGTGAGTGATCATTGTCAGAGTGCTGATCAGCCAGTGGACCCTAACGTTATGTTAGAGAGGTCTTCTGAACAAAATCCTGGGATTAAAAATTGGGGGGCTGAGAACTGTGTTTCTTCTGTCAGAGAATATGAAGAACTGGCAAGAAACATAGAATCTGTTAATCTCCAGTGTTCAATGGAAGATCTGCGAAATGAAAGTCGAAGCTCACTGGAAGAGCAAAGATCGTTTTATCAACTAAATATCACACCAGTTACGGTAGATGAAACTTTATCTGAACACTTACTAAAAGAGGATGCAAGATTCAAAAAAGAGACTGTATGTTATGAAAAATTCCCTGTTGAAGCATTTGATAAGGAGTATGTGAAGCTTACTGAAAAATCCGTTTATGGAAATAAAGGGAACAAAATTATGGAAATGGGTTCTCAGTGGAACACAGATATGAAAAAGGCAGATCAAGGCTTTGCGGAAGTACAGAAGTCTTCCAGGAATCCCACTGAAACCAAATTAAACATCTCAGACATCCATTTACAGGCTGTTGTACAACAAAATGATTCTTTTCTGGAAAGATATAAAAAACATTCTAATTCAGTGCTCAGAGGCTCTTGTCATATTCCAGTGTGGGTGAGTAAAACTGAGATTTCTAAAAGCGGTAATTTATGCAGCGATTTAACTTTACACCAACCTATTTTAGACCTTCAATATCTGAAAACTTTGCAAACCCTCACTTCATAGTTCTAGTTTGAGACTTTCATGTTCCCTGGAATTCTGCCTTGCTACTTATTCTTTCAGATCATAACACTAAATTAACAGTTGCTAAAGAAAAGGGTGGGTTCACCGTGATTGTTGGATGAGCTCTAGCATCTCCGTTCCATCTCCCTCTGTTAGCATCAGTAGGGGTAGCACACGTCTGCATTACATGGCATAATTATTCAACAGCATTTATCCTCGGTTTAGAAGCCTGAAGGAGATAAGGGTGTTTACCCTTCAGTTAAATTATTTAAGGAAAAAACTTTCATGTAATTGGGGGGGGAAAAAAAAAGTTTATCCTGGGACTAGATTTCATCAGTGCTTTGAACTTGAGGTTAGCCAAAGAGAAGTGGGTGGTGGTGGTGGTTGTTTTTTACACTGATGGCTATTTTACATGGGACTTAGGTCCCGGGGTCTGCACACATCAATTAATAGAGAAAGAACGCATTGCCTGAGGTACTGCCTTTATTTGGGGCAGAATGTGTGAATAAGCCTCCTCTTTGTGACAAGCTAACAAATGTTGCTTTTGCTAGAAATAGTGGCTGTGGGGGGGAGGGTGGTTTTGTGATTTTGTGTGTGTTTGGGTAATTTTTTTGCTTTTTTACACTGATGTTATCTTGTGTAATTTATGTCCTAGGAGACTGAGTCGGGGCGTGGTATTATGGAAGAACCTGAGCTCACTCTAATAAGCTCTAATGATGTCAGTATTGCAGAATCGGATGTTGAACGTACTAGCCAAGAGAAAACTAAAGAAGATAAAATCAATAACCCAGCATGTGTGGATCACTCTGAATTCAGTTTTTTTACTGAGGTGCATCTTGATTATCTAATATACTTCTGGTTTTGAGTTGATACTCCTTAATTAGCATAAGGAAAGGCCACACTACAGCAGTTAATACAGTACTGGAAAATGAGAAAATGTTAGGGCTATCCTAGATTAGTAAGTCCTTGCACCACTTGTTCTGATGTTATGTTTTCCAGATAGATCTAATCCAAAGAATTGAAATTTGTGCTATTACTTAATATTACTACCCTGTCAAATCCATGTCGGTAGGGTCTGCGTAAACTTCTGATGAGAAGCAGAACTATCTTGCAGTTATCTTGCACAGTATCTTGTGTTTACAAGACTAAACTGTAATCTCTTAAAAGTTTAAGATCTGAATGAGGGGAGAGGGTGGGACAAAACAAAGCTACAAAGTAGACGAATAAAGCAGACATCCAACTGGACAGAGCTATACCAACCCTACACAGCAGTTCTTTTCTCACGGGGAAAATACGATCAGCTCGTCATAGTGCCATACTTTACTTTGCCTATGGGATGCTTTTTGCTGTTTGCCCGTATAAAACAACGGCCACAGATTATAGAGGCACTGGTTTGGTACGGGAAAATAGCTTGGGTACCGAAGCAAAACCACGTAATGTGTATCTGTTAAGTGACTAAAACAGATAAAATAATGTTTCAATTGCAGGAGGCATTTAGAGAAGATCCTAAAAGTACTGGAGTGGCCTTGGCGCTTGCCTTCTGGCTGAGAATGGGGAAAAGAGGCAGAACAGTGAAAGAGTGATGGGAGAAACTAAGGAAAACAGGAGGAAGAACAGATACCAGCTGCGCTAGAGTTGTATAAGCCCAAACTGAGAGCAAAATATTGGAATTTGGTGGGGAAAGGGACTTGCACAGGAAACTTTAAGTTTTAAATATTTTTAGAAAGTGGCCTTTTAATACTATCAAAATCCATTTCTGATATTGTTCCTGCATCGGCAAAAGAGCCTGGCATCTTATTTGTATCTAGTCTATGCTAGTGATACAGTACTACCATTGCACAAATTGCGGTGTATTTTAAGCTTTTTCAGCCAATGGTTCCTTTCGAAACAGGAGAGAGAACGTTTACCAGTAGCTCCAGATGCGGATGACTCCGTTTTCAGAAGGCCCGACAGTTCTTCCAATGCCCAGAGTCCTCATGACAGTCAGTTTCCATCACGTCAGACTGCAGGTACTTATGTACAACTCCAATATAATGAGGTTGAGATAGAGAAGGTCCTAAATTTAAAAATCATTAATAAAATATACCTCTCCTTCACAAAAAATAGAGCTTTTTACTTAGGTAAGCGCATGCTGCTGTTCTGGCTTGGGTTGTACATTAAACCTAGGCCAAATATAGTACATCTTGCTGATAAGGAAGTGTTTACTTGTCTCTTCCAATGTCAGGCTGTTCTTTCTTGAATATGTGTATTCTTTCTAATATCTACAATGCTTTTTTTTTTTAAATATTGTAATTAATACTTAATTTTTGGTGTTGTATGGGGTTTGTCATTGCATACATATGCACCTTCATTTGTTTTTATTTCCTGTCAATCTTTAAGCTCTGCACCTAAAGGAAGTCACATTTCTATTCTGATGATAATGTGGAACATCAGTAAAATATTGAAATATTTTTTGGCCAAGATGGACCGCAGTAACAAAGAGGGATTGACAAAACATCCGCGTTTTGGGAGGGGGGCTTCGCAGGTCGTCTTGTTTTGAGGGATTAAGATGCTTTTGATACAATATTTATCACAGGATTTGTCTTGGCAGTACTGCTTACAGTTATTCAGGTTTGGTAACTCTGAATTGTTACTTGTTTTGCAAAATTACTAGTTATTCATAGTGTCATTCTTCTAGTAAAATTCATAAAAACAGTCCAGCTTAGCATTTTGGGAGAAAGACACTGAAATGTTTGAGGAGTTAAACGTGATAGTGTTCTTCACTGAAAATTGGAAATGTTGGGAATTTTTTTCTTTCTCAGTGATGTTGCTAGAGTTTGTTTCTACGCCAGGAAGTTTGCAAGAATCTTTTTTAAAAAGAAAGAAAAACTTCATTGAAGAATCTCAGAAAAGGGTAGAAAAAATAAAAAATAGAGAGAGGAAAAATGAAAAGCCAGAAGCTGAACAGCTTCAAAGAAGGAAGACTGGGAAGTTAAGCAGGCGAAAGGAGTCTTCTCTCACTTCTGGTAGGTTTATGTGGGGGGCAAGACGAAGCATTTGGGATCCTCTCTTTCTGTCGAAGAGCAGATTTCACACTGTTGCATCCTTGCTTTTGCAGATTAGGATGTTCTTTGATTGGGTTTTTCAGGGATGTGGAGAGCTTCTTTTTGAATGCCTGGAATACCCCTTATTTCAGTGCTGTAAAGGCCCTGAGGCTTCATCTTCACACTTTCACAATCTGTTTACAGTCATACGGCTCTTGGCAAATAGTAGTTGTTATCAAAGAACAACCATATTAAGTAAGCTGATGCATCTCTGATGTCTGGATGGGGGCAACTGGAAGTCAGCTATTGAGGAGCACAGCTGCCTGCAATTGCAGGCAGTAGCCTGATGAGTGAAAGTGAAGAGTCTTCTGTTGAAAATAAATATCTACAGAGTCTGTTCTGTCAGCTTATTTCTTTTCTGCAGTGCTGTCTTGAAGTAGGAAAATTACTGTTTTTCAGCACTACATATTTAAAACCTCTGATGCTTTTGATTTCTGTTATGCTGAAAAACCTAGACTCGTGCTTTTATTACTAGTCAGTACCTAGTGTGAACTTTATAAACTGTTACTGGGATGTAGAAGAAACAGTTGTTTTCTGCAAATGTATATATTGGCTGGATTAATGATTTAAATTTCAGATTTCTTTTGTTGTTGTTGTGTGCGTTTGTGTGTGTGGTGGGTTTTTTTCCTTTTTTTAAAGAAAAAAAGGATGCAGCTACTGGTCAGTTGACGAAAGTAGGAGAAGTGAAAGTGTGTTCTCCAGAAGATCGGAAGTCTACCGAAATTGAAATGCACCAGCGTACTTCCAGGTATTACATAAAACAAGTGGGAGGAATTGGGACAAAACCAGTAGAAGTAATCTGTCTTGTGAAAGCTACTGGTTAGTTCACGTTTTGTTTGTATCTTCCAACCGGACCCTAAAGGAGCACTGCGTAACTCTGAATTGCTGGGAGAAAGGAGCAAGCATGTTTGTGATATGTGTATGATGGGGAATTCTCTTGCAGAGCTGTCAGGAGGAAATATGGCTGGCAACCTATCAGTCTAAGATAGCTGTGCCAGTCATTTCTTGAAATTAGTGTAAATTCGAAGAGAAGGTCATAGTTGCACTTAAGTGCTTATTAATGATAGCACAGTAAATACCATGTACAATTCAAAATACAATTGAATCCCTGAATCCCTGAGGTTTGTTAGCCATAGCTGAAAAGGAACTTGAAAAGATGCTGTATTACTGGAGAGCTGAGTCAAAACTGCCTTTTCTAGTTTTCAGCAATTGAGACTATATAAACACTTATTTTTTCGTTGCAACTTAACTTCTTGATAAGATGCAGTTTTTTCTACTATTTTGACAGGCTTTATAATCAACTTGCAGAAGTGAAAATCAGAAAGGAGGAAAAAACAAGGCAAGAAATGTATGCTAAAAACAGAGAAAAGGCTAAAGAGTTTCAAAAGGTAACAGTATCTGTTATGGTGTCTTATGTGGTCAGTTTTGATTTCCCTGAACTTCCAGTGAGACTATTGCAGAGCCATAGTTTGTTTTGGTGTGAATACAACAACTGAAATAGAGACAATGGAACTAGTCCGAAGGTCTCACAGTTTGGCCTTTTTGGGAACTGAATGACAATTCAATGCAGCTTTTGTATAAATGATGCTATTAGTACCTCACAGACTTTACAACCATGGTGCTGACAGGACTTGCTAATACAAAGTAACTTCTAGGGCTGCAGTTTTCTCTAATGGGTGTCTGCTTTAGGCTGAACTTTTCTGGTAAATGACGTGGGCTAAGCAAAGTCTGTTAGAAGCTCCAACTGCTAGAAAGTTGATAGACTAGGATCTACTTGGCAAAAGAATGGTGATTCAGGATGCATTTTCCCAAGCTTGACTGAATTTTCATTATAAGGCAGTTTTCCTTTCTTGCTTAACATTTGTTACTCTAGGTAAATTCTTAAGCTTCTACCTAGCTGAGCATGCCCAGACTTACGGCTGCAGGGATCCAGTCTGGATTTGCATATAGTTGCTCTAGTTAAGGGTTTCCAACAGAAAAGACTCAATTGTTAATGCTTTCTTTCCCCTTGCTACTCTGCTGGGCGTTGGAGACTTTGAAGGAATGAAATGCTGGAAGAGTCCTGACAGGCTGAGACTGCTCTGCTGAGACTAAATCCTACCTTATCTACCAGCAAAAACAAAAACACACAACTGTTTTTTTTCTCTCTTGATTATACTGTTTTACAGCTTCTGTAATGAACAGATGATTAAATAACTGCACCCTTCCCCACTCCTATGCAGATCTTTTGGATGAACAACAGTCATCCAACTCTCTTGCCCCACTGTCTAAACTTGCAGTATTACCGGTGTTCAGGCTATATACATGAGTAGTACTTGAGAACTGTGTCCCCCCTCCTATTGTTAGCTAGCTCCAGCAGCTTGGTTTTTAGTGTTATCCTTTCTTAAGTTGTCTACTGTAGTCTCTCTTGGTTTGTCTTATTTGCAGAAAACACTGGAAAAGCTACGAGCCAGGAAGAAACCTCGGAAAACACCATGACTGGCAGAAGATCTTGAGCAACAGCAGGAAAATTACTTCATTGGTACAATCCAAAACACAGAGTGAGGAAATTTGCACTAAGCAGTGTAATTATGAAACACTTAGGAAAATCAAAATTAAACAATCACTGTAGTATCAACAATGATGTTTTATTGAAAAATCACTACAGAAGCTGATGCAGTTACTTATTTAAACATTGTTAACCTCTCATTAGGTAGATAGGCACTGAAAAGCCTTTTCTGAGGTTAGTGTTTTAAAGGAAGTTCAGATTAATTCTTGTAATATGTATGTGTAAAATTTTTTTTCAAGTAAACTTTTTGTAATAAAACTTAGTCCCTTCTATAGAGCTGAAACTTACCCATTCTTTTAGTATTCAGTGCAAGGGGTAATTAACTACTTTAGATGCACCTTTCACCTGCAGTGGTAAAGTACCAGAGGGTAAAAAGAGAAACTGTTCCAGCAAGTGTCTAGTGCCCTACACTTCAAAGCAAATACTGCCCTTGCCCTTCCAAATTTACTTCAGCCTGCTGCTGCACAGGTTAACTGCTCTTCCCAAGTGTTAGTTCCTCTGGCCAAATTTCCTTAGCCCTATGTAATTTTAATTGCAAGATCATTAGGGTTAAAGTAAGACAAACGGAAGTCTCAACTGCTGCAGTGAAGTTCAATTGAACTATTATCTACAGCTGGAACAGTAGGAAAAGCGATGAGCCTGTTTGTTTGTGTTTAAAACACAGCAGAGAAGTGGTAGTGGGGACATTAATGAGCTTCTCTTTTAAAGAAATTACTATAATTTAGACTTTAGTGAAAACAGATTTGTTCAGCCTCTGGAATCACTGAAAGTACAGCACTAGCTGAAATGGACCCACATGCAACCACCCTCCCTTCAGTAAAGAGTTACAAGGCAGCAAGAGCCTGTGTCATTCTGTGCAACTAAGTCAGGTAGAAGCTTGTTACAATGTAAGGATTATCGATCTATCTGTAGTAAAGCTGCACATTAAGTGTATAGGTCTAGTCTGTCTCATCTTCATACAGGACAGTGAAGGGAAGGATGGTGCTTTGACTCCACTGTAAAAGCCTTGCCTGAATGATCTCATCCCTTTCTCCTAACAGAAATCAGAAGGGAAGAGAATACAGAAACATTTTGCTAGTGGCAGGCTATATGTAACTGCAAGCCATCTTTTAATCACCCTTTTGGTTGTATACAGTATTGTAGCAAGAAGAAATAATCCCTGGCTGCAGTTGTTCCTTTTAAACACTTAAGTTACATCAGTTATATTTAAATGCTATGACAGTCTGTACAGACTAAGCAGCTCCCTCCCTCTCTCAAACAGGAATGGGGCCAGTCAAGGAAAGACTTTATAATCCACTGCTAGTCAAACCACATATTCTGTGCCCTCAGCTTAGTAAATTTCTGCAACATCAAGCCAGGCAGCTAAGTTTAAACAGTCCTAAGCTTTGCTATCACATGGACAAAGCAGAAGGACAAAAGTGATTGAACTGCTAAGTCTTTAATGTTGTGCCTCTCCTGGGTGCTTTTACACTGATTTCTAAATAATATGCATTATTTCAATTTATAGAGCAGTAACTCTATTATAGAGTTACATGTTTAGAATTCTTAATTATGATAAGTCAAAATAGGTTATAAGGTCCTTTCTGTATCTGATTTAGAATGGTCTTGTTCTTCCTCAGCCTTGCAGCAATGTCACCAGGACCTAAAAGAGATGAAACATATTGTACCACTTTCACTTAAGAGTGAAAAACATCTTGATTCAGCTGTCTTCCTCACATTGAAGTCTTAACACATGAACAAGCCTTCTTATAGTCTGAAGCAACTTAATTATTTCAAAGCAAGGTGCTGATATAAAAGCAGTAATCCAGGGAACATGTACATCTTACTGAAATGCAAGGGACAAAGCATTTCAAATACCAGCTCTGGTCACAATCATTTCATCTTTCCTATTACCATGCAGTTTCCATGGCATTCCACTCCTGCACTTCTTGCCCTGCCCCCCAACTCATTTATTCTGGATTACTCTCTCCAACACCTCAATCTATCTCCATGGGTATACTGCCCTCCCAAAGGAGGGGGAAGGAGCAGTTAAGCTCAAACTGCTGACTACCAGTCTTGTATGTTAACTGTTCTCTTCCAGCTCTACCTGCTGCAGAAGTCACTTAGGTTTGATCTAAAACCAAGTAACATCTTTCCTACAATAGCTTCTCTCATTTGGGATGTTAGTAAATAAAACCCTTTTTTCAGTCAAACAGGCCTGGCTACATTAAGCTTATCTCCTCAGAAATAGACCACAGTACACACCAAGTGTCCAAGGCATCCTGCAGAGGATTTCAATGTAAGGTCACTGCGTTAAGAGCTGCTGGGTTTTTTAGCCATGCAAACCCTCTTTGAGGTGACCTTGAATTTCTTTCAAGTACCAGCACGTTTGCTAAGCGCTGCTCTTTCTTACCTTCAGATTCACTCTGGTTGCACTGAAACATCATTTCTTGCCCCTGTCATCACCAGTGACTCAATAGCAGACACTATGGATTAAAAAGTCAGATTTGGTTAATGTGATGAAAAGCTGAAGTCAGATGCAAACTCTGTGGAGCAGCCTTTTTTGTCTTTTCTCTTCTTGTTTTTTTCTATTCCCTCAACAGCAACTGAGTTAGTTTCCTGAAGTCTGAATTACAGCCCAAGATTCTGACTAGAATGCCTCA